GAGAAAGTCTCGTTCGAAAATCGGGCTTCCAAGCATCGTGTCTTGAGCGTGACGAAATGAAGCATGACGAAACTAATTTCTGTCAAAACCAACCGCACTCATTATAGGTCGTCTTCGTTCAAAAGAAAGTTGAGAAAGTTTTCGAGCAATTACGAAATTTTACGCAAGACAAATGTAAATTCTACTTAAATTTCTCAAGTTTTACTGTAAGGTCTGAAATTAAAGAAAACCTGATATTTCTTTCTTATAAAAAAAAACGAAATAATAGATTATAATATACGTATACGGTATATTTAAATAATTTATAAACAAATTCATGCTTAGTCAGTTTCTTCCCGGTTTTTCCGAAGTACGAAGAATTTCGGTGATTCGACACGAGGTGCGACGCTAAGAAAGAAAAAGGGGGATAAACGGAAAGAGGAACCACGTGTCATCGATGGGAAAATAAATAAATTCCGCTAGCTGTGCAACGATACAGCGCAGAACACCGTGGCCTACCTCCTTGTTTACGCCACGCCGCTCTTTTCCTAAAGAAATGGCCTACTTAACGACGGAAATAATAATTAGTGAACGTGTCGACGTTCAATGCACGGCCCGGAAATCCCTGCGCCACGAGACTGGCACGCGTCCTTTGTGTATTCTACTTCTAAACAACATTCTACTCTTCCGATATATTTTACGCCACGTTATACATGTGTATTTTGAAAAAATAAAAAAAAAAGAATAAAAAATATTAAGAAATTCACAAACTGTGAATTACCTATAATTAAAATATTAATTCGAATAAAATTCAGTAGTATTGGTCATTTCTTAATGTTTTTTTTTAATTTACGAGAAATGCTTCAATAGTTACATTTTTCAAGGTATAATTTTGTATTACAATAATAAGCACGTATACGTATATTCTAAATTAAAAATCATTAAGAAATTATTAAAATTTTTTTATGGAACTCTGTAGCAATGTTTCTTAATAAAAATCGTAATTTTTTAGTATCATAGATATTGTGTAAACTTTACATATCAAAATTATAAATTTTATTAAAGAGATCTAATTAACAAATTGAAAAGTTTAGTTGCTATTAAATGTTATTAATAAATTTTTTTTCAGGACTTTATAGAAGTTATTGTGTTGTATATAATTGTATTAAGTTTTAAATTAATTATATTGAGGATTGAAAGCCAAAAATATATGTTCTTCATAAATATAAATCATCAGAAAGATTCTTCCAAGAATCGTTGAAAGGAACAGCGCGCGGCGTTCGATTAGGTCGCGTCTTCCGAAATGAGACTTCGAGTGTTCACCGGCCGAACCGAAAAGGGCTACTCGAGTGCATTCACGAGTCATACCGGGTGTTCTGCGGTTTCCCACAGCGCGGGGTAGAAGCGATTAGAGGCGATTAGAAGGTGTTCTGGATTGCGTCCCACCATCGCAAAAGCGACCGGCGTCAACCGCTGTATTCCTGCACCCCGTCGTCAGCCGCCTTTATACCCCCGTGGAGTCAAGTAACAGATATCGAAGGGTAGATCACCCTTGGTTTTTGCGCCTGAGGCATCGCGCATAAAAGGCTCTCAAAATCAATTATGTAATTATAGCAGATAATATATGTGTATGTGTTTTACGTATATGTTATGTATACATAGATATATGTATATTATAACATATATAAAATTATTTAATTTATGCTGAAGAAATACAAATTAGCGACCACAGTTTATGATGTCACATATAAAAGTATATTAAATTTCAATTAAATTTTTTATAACGAATATTGTAAATAGCAATCACATTTCTATCAAAATAGAAATATGAATGGAACATCTGAATCTAATTTATACCCAATTTGATGCAATAATTTTAAAATTACAAATAATTGAAAATAAAGTTTCTTTTTGTAAATTAAGATACGAGATTGCGCGTAAATTTTTCCGTACCTCTCAAAAATTTAACAAAATTTAATGTCAATTTGCCACTGCAAAATAACAGTGAATGTTAAAACAACATAGAGAATAGAAACAGGCGACGCCGGAAGCCAGGGATGAAGGGGGGTTTGCGTAGAACGAGGCGATTCACCCTATGCGCCAGATCCCCATGCACTTCTCATCTACGCTATCACGATTATTACTTAATAGATATCGCGAGGAGCCGCCAGACATAAGGAAGACCCTTATTATCGCACGTTATCCCGCTACTCGTTCCTTCCTTCCTTCCTCCCAACTACCGAGTCCTGCGCACATCTCACATCGAATGGTAGCACCAAGATCTCTCTGGTTGGTCTAAACCCGCCCATTGGTAAAGGGCTCCCTGTTAGCCAAAAGGGGAAATTCACAAGAGGGGAGAAAATTTAGGATACGTTGGTATCGTCCTTACGTTCGATTTTACTGATTGCATTAATAATAATTAAATTTTAAGATTGAGGGAGCTTTTATAAACGCTGCTTTAGATTAAATATATATAAATTTTACTTTATGGAAAATCATTATAATGAATATATTGGCTTAACGCAAAGATATTTGTAATAAAATTACATTGAAAGAAATCGTTTCTTTCTGAAATTTTGTAATTACAAAATTTATACAGAACGTCAATATATAACTAATATATTTTTATTATGATATACGTTGATCGAGGGGGGAAGGGAGGATGTTTATGAAAAATCTCGTAATTTCGATTTAAGTTTATCCGAAACACAAGATACATTTTCACTATTCACAATGAAAATGGAAATGGTTTTGGGCTGTCGATGCCATGCCAAACGACTTCGCGATCAGTTCGAGACACATCAGCGCGCTGGCAGATAATCGTCGCTCCTTGAAGGCGCCTATCTCGCGGTAAGAGTGGTTCACGAGGAAGGCGATCACGGTCGCCTGGCATCAAAGAGAAAAATTAGTCGTCCTATAAGTGCTTCTTTAATCGCGGCATTTCCCTTTGACAGTAAACCACTACCATCGGCTCTGTCAAGAAGCTTCTGCGGCATTTGCCGACGAACTGGCAGCCGGCCACTCGACCAATCACTTTCACCGATATCTGCCACGAGAGACCGGAAAAAAACGGAAGAGTACGGATTATCGACTATAGAGGAATGCTGGAAAAAGAGCGATGGAATTTTTTGGAGAACAGTAACAATCCTTTCTCAGCCAAAGATCCTTACGATAAATGAGATAAAGATCAATATTCTTAGTGTACATTTATTACCTACACTATTTAAGCGTTTAAATACAAAGTTGGGATAAAACAATTATGGATATAAACAAATTTATATCAAAAATTAGGTCTTTATATTGCGAAAAGATATTCTGAAAAAGTCATCTGAGAAGACAAATTCTATTAAACTAATAACAATTTTATAAAAATCTTTTAGATCAATTAATATTTATCGAAATATTTATTGTTGCAGTATAATTTCCCATTTAAAACAAGGGAAGACAAATCTAATTTACGACTAGATAACTAGAAATAATTATTTGGCTATTACACATTGGCGTCTGGTTTCTCTCGGAAATAAAACCAGACACGCTCGCTCTTATCACGGTTAATGTATTCACTTTTCTAATCGTTAGCTATAAATTAGTTCAATCTTGTATGTATCGTACAAATAGTTGCACGCAAAACATGTGCGCAAAAATACAAACATCCTTTTTGTTAAATGAACTTAGAGACGAAAGGGTTAATTAATTAATTAATTGTCGCAATTTGTCGTACAAATTGTCTTGTCGTTAAAAAGTGGAGTGAGAAGAAAACAGGTGCCGACTTATTTATGCGAACAGGTTGTAAGGGGTGAAAAGAAAAAGTCCCGCGAGACTACCGTCGCGCTACCGTTTTCCCGACGAAGTCCCTTTGACTTCGGCGTCGGATGTTCCTGGTTGTTTCGTTTTTAACTCGAGAGAAAACGAAGGGAAGCCTTTTTTTCCTCAAAGGGTCGATATATACACCGGCAGCTATTATATGCTCGTTCGTGTCGCTCCGTCATCTGGAGAAGGAAACGTGTCATCGTAAAAGTGGGTTGACCCGTTTCTTCTTCTTTTTGCGTATTACACGGAGACCCGATGTAATTATTAAACGACATTTAGCGCCTGTCAAAATTTAAATACCACCGAGCACGAATGAGATGCGAAACTAGAATAACGATATTAACCAAAAATTTTGAAAATAAAACATAAAAAAAACATAAAAAAAGAACTAAACATAAACTAAAAACCCTCGAATTAGAGTCTGGCGTCATGGCAAATGTATATCCTTTTCTCTCGCAGAATTTTGAAATCTATATACGCTAAACGATTTATCTTCTTAGAAAAAATAAAATTTAATTTTTCTATTCTAATATTCAATAAACATACAGAATTAACGTGTATGAGTTCCCATGGAGATTCAACACTAATAAGAAACTATCAAAAAATGTTTATTAATTATACACACGTAAAGAAATTTACTAAAATCTAGGAAAGAAACTTTTATAGAGGTGTGATCAAGTCTCCCCCAGAGACATTTAGCTGTGAAAATATTTAACTTGTGAGGTACATCCACACTGTCAAGTTGGAGAATGCCCTACAAAATTTTTCCCTTTCGAGCAAATTTACGATAGAAAAAATTCTTCTCCCTCCCTTCGCATCACGCGCTATATCCTCTAATTTGCGTCGCAGCTTTCGCGCTATATCGCGCCGATATCTCGACTAATATTATTACACCACAAGGAGCCGGAGCATTCGCGTTCGCTCTAGTCGATTGGCAAAAAGATGAGCACGACGGCGATGGCGATACGTCGCGGTCGGTGGAGGCAGCGGGAGGGAGGACGCCTCCGCGCCGAGAGAAACGTCATACCCTAAATCATACCCCACTTCGCCGTCCGTCGACGGCGGGCTCCCTCAATTTACTAATTGAATCCCGGGTTCCTCACAGGGGCGTAGACCATACCGAGCTCCGCCCGTTTTGACGGGGTCGGGATCACGACGGGTCTCTTCACGGGTACACCCACCCGTGCCTCGCGGCTGCTACCACCGACGACGAAGCGGCGAACGCGACCGGGGACTTTACCGCATCGTGCAAGGGGGGCAGCGGATCTCGGTACCGCACCAAACTCCGCTTTCTCAGTGTCCCTTTGACTGCACATCCGAAACTGCATCGACGCTATTCGACAACGAGACCGCGCGCAAATATAGCGCTTCCTCAGCTTCGGACGACAGTCTGTGCTGAAACCACGCGACGCGATATCCGGACGCAAATCGAAGAAGAGACGCCCCCCCGCGAGCGGGAAATAGAATCAAGTCGACAGTCGAGAATAAGAAAATAATGAGGCATCAACGATAATTTTCATTTCGCGGGACGAGATCTAAGTGGAAGGCATCATCGTCGAAAAATAAAATAATTTGTGTAATAATACAAGATAATCAGAACGGCAATAAATTTCATCTCGTTCAGACAAAATTCGAGTGCAAGTTGCAGAAATCTTCAGATGCTTGAGAAATATAACGAGATATAATAAACGGAAATAATAATATATAATAATTGAATTACAACTTTTGTTTTTGACGAAAGAAAAGGCTCTTCACCATCGAAGGAACATAACGAGATATAGTAAATGACATGCTAAAATAATTAAATCGTAAAATAAAATATAATAATAAATCGGCGACGAGTTCAAGTTGAGAATTCAAAGTGAACGTTTTGTGAAGTTGATACGAATTGTGACAAATTAAAGGAATCTGACGGTGATAAAATATCAGGCAACATGCTTGGCGGATACGAGGCGCAGACCGACTATTATCCGCAGTGGCATCAACCGTATAATTATGTCACTCAACTTCCATACGGTGAGTGCTCACACGCATCCTAATTGACAAGATCAATTATTCTGAAAACTAATTTGAATACCAAAACAAAGCGCATTCTTTTACGATTTTTTTTCAAGACAAACGAGTGATCTCAGGTTTAAGCATGATTCCTAGAGTAGAAAATTTAAATTGACATATCTATCGATTCTTTCTGTCTTTATAGATAAATTACATGTATAATAGATGGAATTCAAAAACATAAAAACATAAGAAAACGTGTCTCATGGAGTACGAAATTCTTCAAATTACAGAAATTCTTATTGATTTTGCGTGCGAACTAAATTTAGGATATGTTTGAGATTCGCCGACATAATATGTCACTATCTTCTTAGCTATATCGTTTTATGCATTGTACATTATCATTATGCATTATCACGGATAATATTTATTTTATTATTCTTAATATGTAATAATGCACACACTTAATGAGATTATCTATTTACGTAAGTTCAAGAATGGAAAAATTCCGTGAAGGTAGAACTCGCTTTTCCAGTTTGCACGTGGAGGATAACGTTATTTTCGCTTCTCTCATCATTAATTCGTCATTAATTCATGTTCAGGCAAAACCTATCATTACGACCGACCAATGACGAAAGAAGCAGTAAATCAAACAGCTTAATAGAGATGGAGTTGCATTTAATGAAAGAATAATTAATTGCAAAATGCAAAAGACTTATGAATAAACAATGTACAAAAGCTTTTTATGCGAACGGTGTATTTTTTGCTTTAAATATCTTACGTATATGATTTGTTTAACAATTCAACATCGAGCGCAATATGTTATATTGAAATAAAATATTAATATAACATAGTGCAAATAAAACGAATATTTTTTTCAAAAAGTCACTTTTTGCTTATTTATAACATATTAAAGAGAAGCGTTACAAAAAATATGTGTAGACTATTTTGACAATCAAAATTAAAGGCTTACTAGGCTTTAAATTAATTGCGTACTACTTGCCGTATCATTTTTTTCTATAAAGCAAGTACGAAAAAATCCAACAACTGCAAAATATCAACGGAATGAATTAAATTGAAATATCATTAACTATTTTAAGAACCATCATAAAATATAATATTGTTTCAAAATATTACTAAATTCTTTATTGCGTAGAAAAATCACGTTTTTTTTTTTTTTTTTTCAATGTTTTTATGTTCAATTATGTTCTTATCAAAGGCCTCTGAGAATTATATTATTATAAAGTCGAGTGTCGAAAAATCTGGCTGTTATTTTGCAAACTTCGCAAAAGAGAGTTTCCTATTTTTAAAAATTATATTCGCGTATAGTTATTACGCTAATAATTTTCGCGAGAGTCATTTAAAAACCAATTTCATCAATGCCATCTATCGATCACATAAAAACGCGATGTGCACCCGATTTCTGCACAGGGCCCCTCGGCTCGGTTCCCGATGCCGACAGTCAGTCCACATACTGGGGAGGCGCGGATTCCGGTATTTCGGGGGGTAGCTCGGGGGCCGGCAGTCCCACCGCGTCGACGCCACCCCTTATCGAGGAGATCGGCGTCCAGGAACCGAGTTACTCGTCTCTGCAGCAATACGTGCACCCTTCGGCCGGCCAGCCTTATACCACCTTGCCGTACCCGCAGGGGCAACAGGAAACGTCACCCCACCATCACCATCATCCACATCACCACCATCATCATCAGCCTAGTCACCGACGCGAGCATGAGTTCGCGAACGCCCAGATTAGCCAGCAGATCGTCGGCGCCACCCTTCAGCAGCATCTTCATCAGGGCGTTCGCGAGGGTGGCGTGGCGCCCAGGCCGAAGAGGCGAAACACCGCGAACAAAAAGGAAAGAAGGAGAACGCAAAGCATTAATAATGCCTTTTCTGATTTGAGAGAATGCATTCCTAACGTCCCCTCGGATACAAAATTATCAAAGATCAAGACCTTAAGACTAGCTGCGTCCTATATCGGATATTTGATGGCGGTGTTGGAAAGCGACGAGGGAGAGGAACCGCAGACCTTCCGCGCGGAAATTCTCTCGAACGGCAGGAGGAATAAAGCGACTCAACCTAATCAAGTAAATAACTTTATTATTATTAATTATGTAGAGCGGTGAAAGAGTTAGAAAAGAGGGGTGCGAAAGCGAAAGAATGGAGAACGTGAATGAAAGAGAGAGAGAGAGAGAGAGAGAGAGAGAGAGAGAGAAAGAGAAATTAAATATTGTTTTGCTACCTAAAGAAGCGGAATAAAAATCATTTGTTATTGAAAGAAAGAAAGACTTGATAAAATGTTTGAGTTTTGAAAAAATGAAAATATCATAAATTGATAACAATTTATCTTTTAATAAAAGTCGCCTACATTAATCGATAATTTTATATAAAAATGTAAAACGCAAATTTTTACAACTGATAAGGCAACAGCAACTTAACTGTTCTTGTTAAAATATATACTAATGAGATAGCGCTAATAATTTTTGCTTATCTAACTTTTTTGCTCCTCGTTCTTCGTTCATTTTCGTATTCGTGAGATTTTTCCTTCCGAAAAGTCCTAAAGAATTTCGAGAGCTACTCGAGGCCGCGTGCGGCGGCTTTCGGTCGCGGGCTCGACAGTTCTTCAGAATGAATTATTCCGTCTCCTATAGACGGAGTTTCTTAAATCTTTCAAAACGCTTTTGTAAGCGTCGCTTCAACGTAAACATTCGCCTCTATTAATTACATACATTCGTACGTCGGCTTGAGAACTCGATTTTTTAAAGCCGTCGTAGTGCCTCGAGATTTGTTAAAAATGAATTATATATCGTCATATAATCTCATTATTATATAAACTCTATTATATGAAATTGAAAGATCGTGAAAAAATAATTTTGTTAAAATTTACATTTGCTTGATTGAAGTTAAATTGAGAATTGATATGGCATAATAAGAAACAATTTAATCCAATTCAATTATAAAGATGCTGTAACTAATGACTTAACAAATCTAACTGATTAATGCAATTATTTATTACTCTTATTACATTATTAAAAAATTCATTGCATGAAATATTCATTGCAAAAAATTATCCGGATTCAGTTTGATTCACTGGATCCCTGAGATCGTTTCCATCGAGAGGTCATTGCCTTTAGACGACTTGATAGAAAGTGCTATTACAAGGAAACAAAGGAAATTCGATTCGATTTTCCACTCAATCTTCTAATTCTGAACTTCGGAAACAATTTGCTTTCCTCGTACCCTGTATTTTGTGGCTTTCTTCATTATCTGCGATCGTTTACCACCCACGTGGAATTTCCTCTCTTCAATAAAGATCACTACAATTCTCACTCACGGTCAATAACCTGGATATACCCTTCGTCTCTTATATCAATTTGCCTGACAATTATTGAAATTCTCCATATCTGATTTTATGTCTATCATTAAATTAAAGACAAAATGAAAAGAAGCATTCTACATTTTAGGGTTGACGGTTACATTAGCTATAGAGACAGGATTAACTTTTGATGAGGACCTACATATGTCATCGGGTATTTTTGTTTCTTCGCAGAACGAGTCGTGTTTGCAATCTGCCTCGAATCTCGGCCACGAAGAACCGACGAAGAGCAAAGGACGGACGGGTTGGCCGCAGCACATGTGGGCCCTCGAATTGAAGCAAGAATCACCGACCAGCCAGATGCAATAAAATATACCGGAGACACCACTGTCAAAACATATCCGCGATATTTCACGAAATATCGCTCGAAACGATCGTTCCTTTTTGCGCCTGACATGATTTTTTTACATCGGAAAGAAAGTGTGGTCCCCGCGATTTAACGACCGATGCGTCTTTCAAACATTTTCGAATGTCTTGCGACTGAATTATAAGAAATTCTAAATTATTAAGGAATAAAATAACGTTTTATTAAAAGATTCCAAAAATCTCGAGAAAAACATTGACAAGTCGCGGCCTGGGAAAAGATATAATTATTCGGTGTAAAAAGGGTGAAGTTATTTTGTATATAGCACGCGTTCATGATTGTTGTGTATATATACATAGAGTTTCGTTCCTTCTGTAGCAATCATACTTTGAGCCAAAGAATATTATTTTAACAATGAATCTTTTTTCGTAAGTTAATAATAACGCGATTAAGTTATAATTAAGATCATGATTTTGGGTTGAATACGTGTCGTTGATTAGAATTAAGAACCTTTGTAAAGTTTTGTATAAAGTATCGTTATAGAAGTGTATAAATTGTCGCCAGCAATAAACAATGTAATAATAAGACGTGATATTTTACTTTTTACCTTTCCAATAAATTATTTTCGTAAATAAAGAATCTATAAAGTTCTCATTAAATTTTTATAGAAAGAGGAAACTTAATTGATGACCAAAACTCGAAATAATATAGATATTAAACATATTCTTTCACATTCTCATATTAATTGTTTATATCGTGCTTTCTAAATAATATGAATGAATCAGTTTATTCAAAGTTACTTATGGCATTGTTTTCATATACGCATCATTTTGTACTTTTAGTTTACATATAT